TTGCCGTAATCACATCTCCCTCTGAACCTCTTCTTCTGCTGCCCTCTTATGCATGCACATGTGTGTGTGATTGCGATAAAAAAAAATATACAAAACATAGAATTTACCATTTTCACCATTTTAAGAGCACAGTTTGGTCTTAAGTACACTCACGTTGTTGTATGACCATCACTACTACCTGTCTCCAAGAAGTTTTTTGTTATCCCAAACTGAAACTCTGTCCCTCTTCCATTTTTAAGGACCTTTTGATTACATCGGGTATACCTGGATAATCCAAGATGATTTTTCTATTTTAAGGTCAGCTGATCAGCATGGTTAATTCCCCTTTGCCTTGTAACCTAAATATTCACAGGTTCTAGAAATTAGGACATGGCCATTCTTGTGGGGCCATTATCCTGCCTGCCATCTATCCTCTAAGATAGCTTGGGGAACAAATGAGACAGTGCGTGCCTGGGCACTCAGAAGGCTGTCATCAGCATATTTTCGGCTCTGGGAAGCCAATCTTGTGGTCATTTGCCCCTCCCTATTCTTTGTCTTGTCCCGTCGGACATGGTAGCCCTCTCTCATACTCTGATCTGCCCTAAGACCCTGGGTGTCAGGCCAGCAATGGGGCAGCCCCTTCAGAAAGTGAAGAGCTACATGTATCCTTCCGTAGTCAAGAGGGGACAGTGGAGAGGTTAGTGCAAGTCCGACAGACCCCACGCAAGTCCCCAACACCTTCCCTGAGCTCCCCAAAATCCTGTGGGGCCCTCGATTCTGTGACTCCCTTTCCTTTGGGGCCACCACAGGCCCCCAGGACTTCCTCTGCTGGGACTCATGTCACATGGCACTTCAGCAGGCACTTCCCGGGTTTTCTGCCTTCCAGGCTAGGGGGTCCCATATACAAGGACCTTACCCTTCTCCCTGCTTGTTTGCTTTATTCTGGTTAACCCCCTGCCTCACTGCCACAGACAGGGCTGCGTTTCTGCCTAGTGGTCCTGAGCGTGTCCACCTTCTCCTGCTCACTTTCAAACCTTTGCTGGCTCTGAGGCCCCGGAGCTGTTCTCCCTAAACTTGAGCCACAATATTCTGCTGTCTCCACAAACTACCTGGACTATCTTTTAGCTGTTATTTAAACCAGCGCCTTTCTTCTCTCCCTCCCTCTCCTCTTTCTTCATCTCCTTTCCCTCCTCCTTCTCTCCCTTCCTTTCTTTTCCTTTCTTTTCTTCGTAATTCTAGGATTGTTCCAAGCAGTATTCATGAAATCAAGAGTCGACGTTGCTGGGTTACATATTTTTTCCATACATCTTCAGACATATAATTGTTTAAAGAAATATTTGCCCACCTGGCATCTGGTATCATATCCTGTTCCAGCAGGGGTCCAGGTGCCCCACTTTGGGAAACATCGACTCCAAAGCGTAGCATGTGGGCCCTTCACTGTCTGGCTTCACTCCCCAGCCCAGGCCCCAGGTACTTAATCTGCCACATACCTCCCAGCTGTCAGGCCTCCATATACACTGTTCTCTGTGTCTGGAATGCTCCTAGCTCTGCGCCCCTGGTGACATCCTACTCATCCGTAAGGCCCCCCTTCAATGCTGTGTACCTGCCAGCCTCGTCCTCCAGGCTGCACGCTCCTCCATGACCCTGGTACGGGAACCCTTCTTCCGTCTCGGCCCTGCTCTCCGGTCCATTCGGCCTTCCTTTTCCTCAGCAGGCTGTGAGTGCCTTGAGGGCAGCCAATGTGCTTTATTGTACCCTTTCGACTCCAGCATCCTTGGTCACACCGTTGTTTTATGTACCATGTTGCCAATTAAACCCAATACTCATCGATTGTAAGACATCTCCCTATTCAGAAGTGGTAAAATTTGAAAACTGGGTGTGTCCTAGAATATTTAATTTATTTGCCAAAATGTGGCGCTTGGTACACAATGACTCTCAGCGAACTTGTTTTATCGTCTGCACTTTTCTCATCTCTAATCCCAAACTAGCATGGTGCCTGGCACAGAGTAGAGGTTCAATAAATATTTTTTATAATGAATAAATGAACAAACAAATAGACAGATACATGAGCAGAATGTCCCAGCTCTGCTTGCACTCAGTGTTTGACATGTAAACCATTGTTTTCCTACAGGTAATAAAAAGGAAAGAAATTTGTCCGCTAAGCGGAAGGACAACGCTGATGTCTTCATTCCCAGCAAACCTGAGCCAAACCTGAATCCCCAGCTCCCCACTGTGATCCCAGACCAGGAGAGGCCATGCTCAAGTAAGAGTTCTAGGGGCCCCTGGCAGGGCTGGGACTGGGCCTGTGTCATACTCAGCAGGGTGCTGTGACGGAGGAGTACTTTCTTCGTTACCCTCTTTGCTGAGGCCTGAGCTGACCTCTGGTAAATGTGTTATTAGTCAAGGTCTCCAGAGAAACAGAACCAATAGAGGGAGAGAGAGCGAGAGACAGAGAGAGATTATAAGGAATTGGCTCATGCAGTTGTGGAGGCTGGGAAGTCAAATCTACAGCAGGATTGGCAGGCTAGAGACACAGGAAGAGCCGATGTTCTAGTTCAGGGGCCATCAAACAGGAAGAACCAATGTTGCAAGTGAAGTCGAAAGGCGGTCTGCTGGAGAATTCTCTCTTCCTTGGGGGCGAATCAGTCTTTGTGTTCTATTCAGGTCTTCAACTGATTGGACAAGGCCTACCCATGTTATGGAGGGCAATCTACTTTATTATACTGATTAGAATGCTAATCTCATCTATAAATATCGTCTTAGAAATACCCAGAATAATGTTTGACCAATTATCTGGGCTCCCCGTGGCTCAGCCCAGTGGACATATAACCATCCCACCTGTTTTCTTGTTCTATGACCAAATATGTGGTTATAATTGAAAATTTATTTTATTTTTGATTTTACTTTTCAATTAATTCGTTTACTTTATATGGGCTTTACTAATACATGCAAATGGTACTGAATTCTAAAGGTATCAAAGAGTTTATGGTGAAGAGTCAATCTCTCACTCTTCTAATGAAATGAGAGGTTATATTGATTGAGTACTTACTGTGAGCCAGCCACCAGTGTAAGCTCTTAATTATGTCATATGTAAGTATATTATACATGTAATTTACTTTAAGTAAATTACGGTCTTTATAACTAACTTTGAAGGTAGGTCCTGCAGTCGTCCTCATTTCACAGATGAGGAACCGAGGCACCGCTTGGCGATTCACACAGCCAGAAAGCAGCAGACATAGTTCTCCCACCTTGGTGGGTTGAACTGTGTCCTTGGCCACCAGACTGCACACACCGGGAGCTGTAGGCGAAGCATCGCAGCTTGATGCCCCGGGTCGAATCTAGTGGCTGGAGTGGCTCTGTAGGGACCACTTGCTTCCGGTTTTTGTGACCCAAAGGACCTCAAATTGCCTAGGCATCCTGGTATTCCAAGAATTTGGAACCCTGGGGTGCCCTGGGCAAAATCCAGCCCCAGCCAGCCAGCCTCCTTAGACAGGCAATTGATCTGAGCTAGGGGCCCCGCTTTCTGTGGCTGCGGCATTCCATCTATGTTTACTGGGGAGCTGGAGGGACTGTTTGTGCAGAGACAGGCCAAGGGACCTGATGGTGGGAGCCAGCCCCTCCCCACAGTCACAGTTCAGCGATCTGGACTAGTACACTCCGAGCCTGAGGCCTGAACACCAGCAGCTCAGGGCAGATGGAAGGAGGAGGAGAAAGTAACAATAGCTACCACTTACTTACTGAGCATCTGTTCCATGCTATGTAAATATTGTCTTGGTTTGGATTTCCCCGAAGCAGACTCCGAGATAAAGATTCAAGAAAAAGTAATTTATTCGAGAGGTGGTCCTTTGTAGGGGACAGGAAAGAGAGGGAGCCCAAACTGGCTTCACCACCAAGCAAGTTCTCTGGGTAAGTGTAGTACCAGCTGGCTGGGGAGCTCTGGGGGCTGTGCTGAGCACAAGCTTCCACGTTTGCCACTGCTCCCCACCCCAGAGGCAAGAGAGTTGGGCTCTTACACACTTTCCCTTCTGTCCTGGGTCATGGGCTGTTCCTGGGGGCGACAGCTCTCCAACACTCTGGCTCAGCAGGCTCTGAGTGCTGGCTGCGGGGCTGGGGGCAGGGCAGCTCCTAGGCATTCTCTGATTTAATCCTATCACAATCCAAACCTGACTGGGAGAAAAGACTATATAATACAAGCCATTTTAGGTAGCAAGTGATAAAAAGAGTGGCTTTAAGGGAAAGA